TGGCTGCTGTAAGGCTTGTGTGTGTGTGTGTGTATCAGTATTATCTCTTTAATCAATGTGAAGATACGAAGATAGTAGTTACTGGCAATTTACTGGTGCTTTTTTAATTTAGCTTTTATTTTGGTGAAACTATATGTAATTATGATTTAGGTTGACTAATAAAATAAATTTTTAATAAAAATTTAGGTAAGATTTGAGACTACTAACAAGTACTATTGCCCCCTAAGTAGTTCCTGGCACCTGCAGAAATTAAATAAATAAGTGAAACTTTAGTACCTGGTCCCTTGATTCTGCCCCTGTTGGTGGCATGATGAATAGTTCCAGGGCTTCAGTGTATGGTTGTGGAAACCTAACAGGAAATTCAGGATGTTCAGAGGCCCCAGTTGGATTGTAGGAGAACTGAATGGAGCACCATAAAACGTTTTGCCTCCTCTCCCCACCCCTCCCCTTTTAAAAACGCACTTTAAAAATGTTATTCCAAATATAATTTTTATTTATTAACTACCTTTATTTATTTATGAAGACCTGGGACTTTTCTCTACCAAAACTTTGGTGGAAGCTAACAATGAACACATGGTAGAAGTGAGGACACAGTTGTTGCAACCAGCTGATGAAAACTGGGACCCCACTGGAACGAAGAAAATCTGGCATTGTGAAAGTAATCGATCTCATACTACGATTGCTAAATATGCACAGTATCAGGCCTCCTCCTTCCAGGAATCATTGAGAGTAAGTACTTACTTCCTGAAGATTATTTTTATTTTGGAGATATTTTATTATTTTATATTATTTTAATTTAAAGGGGTCCATTACTTCTGTAAGCATCTCATTATTTTATCGTTATTTATATTCTCTATATATAAAAGCCTAAGTGACCATCTGATTGGTAGCTATGATGCACAATGACCACCAGGGGGCAGATGCTCAACGCAGGAACTGCTGAGCTGCAGTGAATTGGCAGCTGAGGTTCTCAGGTGACGCACCCGGAACCATAGAGGAGGGAGCCCGATTCCGGGGTGCATCACCCGAGAACCGCCCTCTCACAATCCGGGACCCCTCGGGGGATGTCGGAGAGCCGGTTTCGGCCTGATCCCCACAGGCCAAGCCAAAGGACCCCACTGGTGCATGGATTCGCACCGGGCCTCTAGTATAAAATATTTTATGTGTTATCAAGTTTGCTCTTAGTAAAGTCTAAGAAAACCTGTTGGTTGATAAAGTAAATATTATTACTACAAGATATCTTCCTTATCTCTGGGTTATTTTTGTTTAGAGCAGGGTTTCTTAACCCTGGCATTATTGACATTTTGGGTTCAATAACGGTTAGTTGTGGGGTGTTGTCTTTTGTATTGCAGAATGTTTAGTAGCATCCCTGGCTTCTCCCCACTTGGGTAATCTTAGCATACCCCTTAGCCCCAACGCCAGCTCTGACAACCAAAGTCTTCAGACATACTATAGAAGGCAAAATTGCTCCTAATTCAGAACCATTGATATTAGAGGATTAACTAAGTCTCAAGTTTGCTTTATACTTGCACAGTTTCTAGACTTGTGCCTTCCCATTTTTCTCCTCTACAGGTTAGTATTTATTATCTGATAGCTCCTCCAGGAAACATTAGTGTTATTGTTACCAATCTCAGTCTGAAAGAAAAAACTGAGAGATAGGCATAAATTATTTGAAAATGTATGGAAAACTAAAAAACAAAACTTTGAATAATCTGAGGATTATTATGAAAAGACTCATAGGCCTTTCAGCGATGAAGCATTACTAAAATCCTTTAGAACTGTAGTTTAAAAATTCTCCCACAAAGTAAACATGAAAGACCTGCAAAATCAGTTTATTAAATGTGTTACTCGTATCCTACAGCTGAAACTTAATATGTGCCTGTAAGTCTTTATTTGTAATTCATTAGATTTGCTGATATCTGTTTTAAATTCTGCCCTGAGTTCATATTTTCAATCAAGGCAACATTTATACCTGTAAATTATACACTTGTGTTTCTTACTACCACTCCCCATAGATCCTACCAAGAAATTCATCTAATAAAAACTGTCCTGTAACTTTTAGGAGTTATAGTGAATTCACTGTCCATATAAATCTCTGTAATTCAAACTTTCGAGATATTTCAACTATGTGATCAGAATAGAATAGATAATAATAGCAGGATTCAGAGATCATCAAAGGGAAATTTGGAGGAAGAGTTGAAAAGCAAAGATAATAAGAGGCAGAGAGTATTTAAGTAGGAATGGATCCATAACCAAAGAAAGGGTGGCTTTTTTGTGTGTGCTTTGGAGGCCTGGACCACATTACATGTAAAAAAAATTTGACAAATGTTTAGAAACTGTACATTGAAAGGGAGGGAGGCCAAAATTTCATGGAGTATTGCTGACTCAAAAATCATAGGACACTGAGTGTTAAGAGATAACCATGTCTGTGATACAAAAATTGTAGATGATAGTAATTTACATTGAAAAGCACCTATATTTATCCAGTACTTAATTTCCCTAGTAATGTTTTAAATGTTCTATCATTCATATGTAATTCATTATGGAAAAAAGATTTGGCCCAGGAAGATCTTTTTACCTTTGTTCATAATCAAGAGTAGAGAAGTTATTGCCTTCCATCCTTATACATATACCAGAGGCCCGCTGCACGAAATTCGTGCAAGGGTAGGCCTTTGCAGCCCCGGCTGCCTCAGCCGCCCTCGCAGCCCTGGCTTTGTCCAGAAGGTTGTCCAGACAGTCATTCTGCTTTTTGGCCGTTGGGTCGATTTGCATATTACGCTTTTATTATTATAGATAGCTACATAAACATGCATGCATGTACCTCTGCTAGTTTAAAAATTTTGTCATCATGATTGATACTTCTTAGGCCTCTTAACTTTCCTTAAATTTTCTCTCCTTGAAAAATGGGGCAGGAAATAAGAATCTATAGTTTGTTCACCTTATAAAAGAATGCTAATAAGGAAGAACTACTAGGATAGCATTGTGGCTGATGGAAGAGTTTGGATACCATTGACTATCAATCTTGATGTAAAGTTGTCAATTGTATGATGGAAAGGATAGCAGCTGGTTATAGAATACTAAACTGGAATGCTTTCTCCTTAATCTGTAGGAAGAAAATGAGAAAAGAAGTCACCATAAAGAACACTCAGATAGTGAATCTACATCTTCAGATAAGTAAGTTACTTTTCATTGTCCACTTAATATTTCTGTTTAAAATGCATGTTTCTAATATTGTCTCTCTTTTTTAAGTTCTGGGAGGAGGAGGAAAGGACCCTTTAAAACCATAAAGTTTGGGACCAACATTGACCTGTCTGATGACAAAAAGTAAGTCTTTGTAGTCTTTTGTGAACTGAGGTAAAGAGGTGCCCTTTGCAAGATTGAGAATTGTATATAATTGTATATGATTTTCTATTTTATTTCAGATCACTTTTCTAAGTTAATATACAGAATTTAGCTAAATTATTTTTGCTAGGTCTTGCAATTAAAGTATTTTCTTGAATGGAAACCCTTGTACAAATTTTCATCAAGACCCTGACTGTATGCTAATTAGACAATCATAACATTCTATTTTATGATTAACAATATAATTCTATAGAATATAATTACACAATTATAAAAATTAGAAGGTCAAATTTTTTCCTTTTTTTATTTATTAAATCTTTATTGTTCAGATTACATTTGTTCCTCTTTTTTTTCCCCCCCATAACTCCCCTCCTCCCAGTTCCCCCCCCACCCTCCGCCCTCACTCCCCACCCACTGTCCTCATCCATAGGTGCACGATTTTTGTCCAGTTTCTTCCCGCATCTCCCATTCCCCTTTCCCCGCCAAGAATAGTCAGTCCATTCCCTTTCTATGTCCCTGATTCATTATAATCACCAGTTCATTCTGTACATCAGATTATTTATTCACTTGATTCTTAGATTCACTTGTTGATAGATGCATGTTTGTTGTTCACAATTTGTATCTTTACCTTTTTCTTCTTCCTCTTCTTAAAGGATACCTTTCAGCATTTCGTATAATACTGGTTTAGTGGTGATGAACTCCTTTAGCTTTTCCTTATCTGTGAAGCTCTTTATCTGACCTTCAATTCTGAATGATAGCTTTGCTGGATAAAGTAATCTTGGTTGTAGGTTCTTGGTATTCATCACTTTGAATATTTCTTGCCATTCCCTTCTGGCCTGCCAAGTTTCTGTTGAGAAATCAGCTGACAGTCGTATGGGTATTCCCTTGTAGGTAATTGAGTCTCTTTCTCTTGCTGCTTTTAAGATTCTCTCTTTGTCTTTTGCTCTTGGCATTTTAATTATGATGTGTCTTGGTGTGGTCCTCTTTGGATTCCTTTTGTTTGGGGTTCTCTGCGCTTCTTGGACCTGTAAGTCCATTTCTTTCACCAGGTGGGGGAAGTTTTCTGCCATTATTTCTTCAAATAGGTTTTCAATATCTTGCTGTCTCTCATCTTCTGGCACCCCTATTATTCTGATGTTGGTACGCTTGAAGCTGTCCCAGAGGCTCCTTACACTATCTTCGTATTTTCGGATTCTTTTTTCATTTTGCTTTTCCGGTTGGGTGTTTTTTGCTTCTTCGCATTTCAAATCTTTGGCTTGATTCTTGCGCTCCTCTGGTCTGCTATTGGGTGTCTGTATAATATTCTTTATTTCAGTCCGTGTATGCTTAATTTCTAGTTGGTTCTTTATCATAGCATCGAGGGTCTCATTAGTTTTCGTGACTCTCTCCTCAAGTTTATTGACAGCTTCTAGCACATTTTTGCAAGCCCTCAAAATTGCGATTTTTAGCTCTATATCCTCCATTTCTGTCATGTTTTTTTGTCTCCGCATTTTTTATGCTTTCTTGGTGCACCCCCTAGTGGTCTTTGTGCGCAGTCTTGTTCTAGTTGAGCCTTGATTGTTGTAGTTAATACTAGAGGGATTTGACCACCAGGCCGACTGGCTGTGTGAATCAGCTGTGTCTGCCGCGGAAAACTTCTGTCCTCTGGGGAGGTGCTAATCTAGCCTTTGCCTGAGGCGATCTGGCAAATGGCTCTGCGCAGGGCTTGGGCGGGGCGGGCTCAACAGGGCGGGCGGAGGGAGCCGTTATGGTGCCCTCAGTCCTGTTCCCAGAGGCTCTGCTTCTCAGAACCCCCGGAACCGCTGCAAACCTCGGAGGGAAAGCTGCCTTCCAACTGATGCCAGACACTCCCGCTTCTCCCGTTTGGGTCCGAGTCCCCAGCGATTCGCCCGTATCTGGAGCTCAGAGTCTGAGACTCCCCCCTGACCGAAAACGACAACCGCGCTCTCAGCCACCAGCCCGCTTTGCGCGCGCACCTCCGCACCTGAGTTTTTTCCACACTGCGCCTCCTCTGAGCCTCGGTGTGCTGTTATTTTTCCTTCTAGTTGAAGAGTCTCTCCTCAGCCAGCCTTCCTGTGGTTCTGGGTGATGTCCGTTCCGTCTTTTAGTTGTATTTTTGAAGTGGTTGTTTGCGGCAGCAGTCTCCGGTGTTTACCTATGCCGCCATCTTGGTGGACTCCACCAAATTTTTTCCTTTTATTGTTTAATTATTTTTATGCTTTTTGTTAGGAAATTTTCTTGGGAAAAATTTAAGCATTCCAGTGTTTCCTATGTGAAAGTAAAGTATTTATAGATTTGATTGTTTTCTGATTGAAGCACGAGGTTTTTGAAGAAATGATTAATTACACAAATATTTGTCACAGAGTTTCACTCTTGATCTGTTATTTTATTGCAGGTGGAAGTTGCAGCTACATGAGTTGACTAAACTTCCTGCTTTTGTGCGTGTCGTATCAGCAGGAAATCTTCTAAGCCATGTTGGTCACACCATACTGGGCATGAACACAGTTCAGCTATATATGAAAGTTCCAGGAAGCAGAACACCAGGTAACTTTTATGAACAAACATATCTTCTACAATTGAAAAACAGAATTAATCAGAATGTGAAATATGCAAAAGAGAACCAGATTCTTTTCCATTTACAGAGAATGAAACTGGAAGGATTTTTCCTAATATAAGAATTGACTCTTTAACTGGATTCAGATTGTTAAGATTTTTCTCCTTTGTATTATATTTTAATAGCTCTGAAACAATAGCATTTTACTTTGGAAAAGGGATCATTGGAGCATTCCTGGCATAAAGGCTGTTGTTGATCCCATCTACTGCAGGGTAATGGGATATAGTTTTTCCTACCATAATCACAATAAGAAGTATATTTTATATTACAGTAGTTTCATAGAACAATACATTTTAAAAAAGAAACTGTAGGTTACAATTGTCCAACTGGATTACAGTGCACAGTTTACAAAGTACATGATGATGTGGAGGCATTATCTAGTCTGGACTTTACCACTAACTAAGCTTGTCACTTTTGGCAAATCACATTCCTTCTCTGGGTCTTTTTCTTCATTGGTAAAATGAATTACATTGGTTTTAGACTTAAAATTCTGTCCAACACTAATGTGTTATCTTCTCTGTGCTGCCTTAGATAATTTGGTCTGGCCCTGCTAAGGCATTAGGGGTCAGTTAATTAAATGTTAACCAAATATAGCAGGCTAATTTTAGGTTAATAATTTTGTATGGCCCACGAATGATTTTATAAATATCCAAGTGATCCTTGGCAGACAAAAGGTTCCCCACTCCTGCCTTACTTTGACATGAAATTTCATAGGGTGATGTTCAAAATATTTAACAATTCAGAAAAATACTGGTGGTAACAAGTTTACTGTGCCAGTGCCTATGAGCTGCATATCACCCTCAGCTGTTTCTGTTTGCCACTTAAAGCAGCCATGGTTTGAAAACCAGGCTGCTGCTTTGTCACCTGCTTATTTAATAGTAGCTTAAGAATCCTCCTATATAATAAAAGGCTAATATGCAAATTGACTGAACGACAGAACAACTGGTCACTGTGGTGTGCACTGATCACCAGGAGGCAGACGCTCAATGCAGGAGCTGCTCCCTGGTGGTCAGTGTGCTCCCACAGGGGGAGTGCTGCTCAGTCAGAAGCCCTGAGCCGGACTCACAGCTGGCAAGCGCAGTGGCGGTGGCGGGAGCCCCTCTTACCTGCACAGCAGCGCTAAGGACCCCTCGGGGAATGTCTGACTTAGGCCTGCATCAGTCAAACATCCCCCGAGGGCTCCCGGACTGCGAGAGGGCACAGGCCAGGCTGAGGGACCGCCAGGGTGCAAGAATCTCGTGCACCGGGCCTCTAGTTGTTTCATAATAGACTTGCTTCTAGGTAACAGGTCAGTGGGTCCCAGTCCTGGCTGCTCATTAGAATCTCCTCGTAAGCTTTTTAAAATACATAGTTGATTAATCTCTGGAGATTTTTTTTTTAAGTTGTCCAGAGGATTCTAATGTACAGCCAAGATTAGAACCATTAGGTTGTAGTCGTTTTTATCCTCAGGTATTGTAAGCCCAGTTCTATGATGTTTATACATAGTTGGGTAAAGTGGGAACACTTCTGGAATAAATGGCAGAGGACCTGTCTGCTCTCCACTCTGTCCCCACTTTAGACACCAGTGTAAATACTGGGCAAGTTATTTGAACTCACTGGAGTTCCCTTCTTTTATGTATGTACTATTGGATTGGATCTATTAAGATTCATTTCAGTTGAAAATGTCTCTCATAGAATTTGAATTATTTTATGCAAATAATACCCTCAAAGAAAAAAATGCAGTTTTTCCTTACAAATGAAGGGGAAAAGCAAACATGACAGATTACTTCTTTGTCACTGTGTGCCTAGACTGTTTGAGTTTTGTGTTGGTTTGTATACAAGGCATTAGGTTTTTCAGAAATGCCCTGTGGCCTGACCGGTTTGGCTCAGTGGATAGAGCGTCGGCCTGCGGACTGAAGGGTTCCGGGTTCGATTCTGGTCAAGGGCATGTACCTTGGTTGCGGGCACATCCTCAGTGGGGAGTGTGCAGGAGGCAGCTGATCGATGTTTCTCTCTCATCGATGTTTCTAACTCTCTATCCCTCTCCCTTCCTCTCTGTAAAAAATCAATAAAATATATTTTTAAAAAAAGAAAGAAAGAAATGCCCTGTGGAACCTAAGGAATTCTCTAAAGAATTCTCTTTAACTGATATTAGTACTATCCAATAGAAATATAGTGCAAGTCATATATTTTTTAAAAATTTTACAGTAGTTACATTAATGTAAAATGAAATAGGTGAAATTAATTTTAACCCAGTATATGCAACTATTATTTCAACATGTAATAAATATAAACATTATTGGGATATTTTTGCATGTTTTTGTGTTAAGTCTTCAAAATTGTATACTTTACAGTTACTACACATCTCATTTTATATTAACTACATTTCAAGTGGTTATTGTATTATACAACTCAATCTTAGAGAAGAAATGTTGTACAGTGACCCTTAAAACTGTTAGTTCAGTTGAATTTTTAAAAGATTATTTTGAATTCGTTTTTATGGGACAAACACCTTATTTCTGGAGTTACATAGATAAATGTAACTTTATGCTTTAATGGACTTCATGATCAGTCATGTATGTTCTAAATTACAGATATGCTCTTAGGTTTTACCCTAAAAGATTTTTATTTGGTGGGGTCTCAGCATCTCTAATTTTAGTTAGAGCTAAATTTTATTTGGAGTCCATGCCATGGACAATTTCAACCATCTACCCATGGTAAGAGACAGTTGTAAGTATTAAGAGTACCATTTTTACATGGTACTGTGTATGTAAAATAGACGCAGGTTGTGGTGTGCGTAGGGTGTGGTGAGAACACAGCTACATTTTTCTTTATTGAGGTAAAATTCACATAAAATTAACCCTTTCAAAGTATGTAATTCAGTCGCATTTAGTTATTCACTGTGCTGTACAGTATAGCTCTCATCTCTGTGTAGTTCCAAGACATTTTCATCAGCTCAGAAGGAAACCCCCGTGCCCATTAAGCAGTCACTCCCCGAACAACCACTATCACAGGTCCTCAGTCCTTTCATTCAGTGTTATTTTGTTATAATTGTTGTTTATATCAATTAACCTATGGTCAAATTGGTTTTGCTATACATCATTTTGCTGCAGTTCTATGAACCGATCAACGATGTTATGTGAGCACTTACTGTAGTCTCCTTTCTGGCTTTGTATAGTGACCTGTTCTGGATATTTCATATAAATGGAATCATAATTTGTTGGCTTTTGTGCGTGCTTCTTTCTTTCTTTTCCCCCTGTAACATTTATAATTTTTTATTTTTCAATTACATTTGACATACAATATTATATTAGTTTTAGGTGTACACCCCAATGATTAGACATTATATAACTTACTAAGTGTTCATCCCAATAAATCTCATACCCATCTGATACCATACATAGTTATTAGAATATTATTGACTGCTAGAGGCCTGGTGCACAAAACTCATGCACTCAAAGGGGGGGGGGTTCCCTCAGCCTGGCCTGCACCGTCTTGCAGTCTAGGAGCCCTCGGAGGATATCCAACTGACAGCGGGGAGCTGGCCTAAGCTGGCAGTCGGACATCCTTAGCACTGCTGTGGAGGCGGGAGAGGCTCCCACCACCGCCGCTGCACTCGCCGGCCTTAAGCCGGGCTTCTGGCTGAGCAGTGCTCCCCTGTGGGAGTGCACTGACCACCAAGGGGCAGCTCCTGCGTTGAGCATCTGCCCCCTGGTGGTCAGTGTGTGTCATAGCGACTGGTTGCGTTTGGTCAATTTGCATATTAGCCTTTTATTATATAGGATAGGTTGTTCCCTATGCTGTGCTTTTCA